TTTCTATACAGGAAATTCAAAGTCTCTTATATAAGAGGAAAGACTTAAAAACCCTTTAGGGGGCATCTGGTAGAGAAGAAATTTTTCTGTATTTGAGAATCATGATTGCCAGGAATATGCTGGGAAAGTGAATTTTCTAGGAATGTGACAAAAAAGTTGTTTGGTAGGCCAAAATATTATCGAAAATATTAGCTTAAGTTTATTGATTCTATCTTTGGTTGATTATCAATTATTGATGGGAATGTGAATATATTTTACAAAAGTAACCCTATGTAAAAGGACAACCCACGTTTATTGATTCTTTTGGACCTTGGGATTTATCTCGTGCATGTTCCACCATGCTCTAAAGGAGAAATGATGTATGTGGTATATGTAATTGCATAGATTTGATATAATGCATTGGATATATGTATGTGTATCGTATGATTTATTGTTTTTATGCTGAAGTGAACTTAGGGGTGGAAGAATATTCAAAAGCCCCTAAGTTAATTAGATATATATGTATATCTCACCCCACGTTACGAGAATTTCATGTACAGGTACTGACGGTGCAGGAGTATCACAGGGTACGAGACATGGCTAGCTTGCCATGATATTGCATGAATGTGGGATTTATTTTGATGTATATATTTATATCTCACATATCATATATGTATTTTGGGAGTATAGGAGATGTCCATACCTCTTTTGATTATGATTATGGATATTCGTTGAGCCATATGTATAGATTATTTCACTTATGTGTCTTTTGTTACTATTGATGCATGCAGGAGGGACTTAGCCTATGATCAAGTTATTGGACATCTTTCATGTTATTAATGCATGTAAAAGACTTTGATAATATGTTTTGCATTAGGTAAGTTCTCATTTATGTAGTCTGTGGATATTTATGTATTTTGATACAATTATGATGAAAGGGCTTTATGCCTATTGGATAGACTGAGATGATGTCAGTATTTATTGAACTGTTTATCAGGTTGAGATATCATGTGGGAATTATCCCTAAATGTCCGGAAAACAAACAGAGCTCTGTCCGTTTTGTTTGGACGATGTTGGTAGGAGATTATCACCTTGTATGATTAACTATCTGCGTTGTCATGTGAAGCCATGTTGTTTATGGAAACTTTTTGGTGGTATAATAAGTTTAACCGAGATTAGATGTTTTGGCAATTTATATGAGTTATAATTACAATTTGAATTGTTTATAAATACGAAAAGTTGTTTTAAGCAGTAAAAGTTAATTATTTGAAAATAAGAAAAATTATTCGTGTTTTAATCAACTATTGTGAATGTAACTAGTCTTAATATCATACGTAATGGTAATAAACCGGTTATAGGATGGCAAGTTACACCTTTGGCCTTCTTGCCAGACTTGCCTTCGATCGGTTCCCTACGTGGAAAATTCTTCTCATTACTATGGGGTTCAATGGCTTATCGTTAGCCTGAGAATCAACCCCTTCCATACTGGCAGATAGGTATAATTAACATTTTTTTATTTGGTTAAGAAAAATTAGTCGAATGTTGAATCAATGAATGCAATTACAGGTGTGCGTGTGTCTCTCTGTGTGTGTATGGGAGGCAATAGCACAACATGGCTGACAATAGGGTAATTTTGTCCCTAAACAATTACAAATTATTCTTATGGGATGAGATTTGTAAAATACCACGATATTTTAAGTTGGTATTTTTTTCATAAAAATAAATTCCAAGAATCTGATTTTTGGAAAAAAAATTATTTAATCCTCATACCAAATATGAGTAAATAGAATTTTTAATATCAATTTTTTTTAAAATAAAAAAAATCTTCTACCAAACACTATATATATATATATATATATATATATATATATATATATATATGATTAGTTCTTGAAATTTCTAATTAATTGAGTGACAGTGATGTAATAATCAATATTTTTATTTTTATTTTATGTTTTTACGTCATTTTTGAGGTTAGGTCTGTTATGATCTAACAGTTAAAATTAGTATAAAGTTCACGTTAACCGCTGGATCATCACTTATTCAATGAATAGATAGAATGAAAAAATCTAATGTGAGAAAGAAAACCGGGAAATGTCAGAAGCGTATTCAAATTTCCATTTTCACTGAGCAGACGATAGTCCAGCAGCGATTCTTCTAGATCTCTGCATCACATCAAAAAAATGAGGCAGAGAGAGGTTCTGTGCAATAATTAAGTATAAAAATAATGTATTTTTCTCTGCATCAGCCATCACATCCCAATTTAATGTATTTTTTCCTTTTAATTAAAAAACAAAGGAATAATGGTCCTTTGCAAAAATAATAAAAATAGGAAAAAAATTTCTATATGCCACACTCACTTGTAAATAAGTGGGTTTCAATTAGTGATGTTAACGGGTCGAGTCGGGCCGAGCTTTGGTCTTAAAAGGTTAAGTCTGTGTTTAAATGTGTCAGCCTGATCAAATCTGTTATCTGTTATGAATATGATTATCGGCATATGGCCTAACTTATTTACAAAAAATGGAAGACTTATTTAGCCTGTTTAAAAAAAATAAGACAACAAAAGTTCATCCAAGCAAAATGTACAATCAACAACACTAGTAATTTCATAAATATTCATAAATTCAATATATATCAAAATAACATAATATAGAACAAAATCATTCAAAAAGTCTGTTTAACCAGTAAAATTGGATGTAATGTATTGAGGAGAGACAGAGAGGATTATTACAAGTAGTATAAAAATATAAAATAAAAATAAAAATTAACGAGCTTTTGCATTGAAGTCTGAGGCCTTTTTATTAAACGAACTTTTATACAAGTTCAAGCCTAGTTCCAACAACCAATTTTAGGCATACAAGCTTAGGCCTTAACGAGCCGAGCCAAAGGTCACTGGTTCGTTTATCACCCCTAGTTTCAATGTGCCAAATAAATATTTTGTGGCAAATATAAAAATATTAAAACTCATAATAAATAATAAAAATATGTAAAAACTCACCAAAACGACATAGTTTCATTAAAATGACACAAAGTTGTGTCATTTAAAATGATAAACATTTCCCCCTAAAAATATATATGTATTTTTTTATTTGTTTTACGGATTACAGTCTCTTGTCGCGTAATTTAGCTTGACATTAAAATAATTGTGAAAAAGAGAGAGACAGGTAATAGCTTCTACGTCACCTGCGCAATGCGCATATGGAATAAATTGAACAAAAGTTCAACAAAATCATATAACAGAATTACTATTTACTTTATTTAGAATATTAATTAAAAGTGGAATAGCACTCTAATACATTTAAGTTCACCGTTTTATAGCCTAATTTCAAAAATAAAAAATGAGTTTAATAAAAACAAAAAGAGTAAATAAATTTCCTTGATTTCTTTTTCCTTCTTTGTTCTTACCATTATGTCATCCAAATCCAAACACACTATACGAGTAGGTAAAGCCATCCTAATTCAAAATCAACACATATCCATGTTTAGTATGTGTGTCAATATTTTTCTTTTGTGTTACACGTCTTTAATATTATGATTTGATCTTAAAATTTCTATTCAGTTGATTAAAATGATAATGATACGAGTAGGAAAAAGAGACTAAAAATGGAGACAATGATATTTTCTTTAGTTTTATATCATTTTAGGTATGGTCAAAAGGTGCTTGGTTGTCTTTTCAAACTTCATTTCTAAACTGAGGAGACTAGTCCTTGGGCGGTTGTTCTCGCTAAGTTTCCATTCATAGAGATTGAGGAATGCATAGAGTTCGATCATTTTATATGCTGCGAAATCCAAGCTAATGTGGAGCAACAAAATATTGATAAAATATTCATCTTTTCAACAATCATGTTATCCCTTCTCTGCTCTTTTCTCTATTAGGAATTGTATTATTTACCTCGGCAGTTCCCGTTTACAATGATAATTACTGCCCAAACTCCGCAATTTATCAATACAACATTACATTCCAAAGCAATCTCAAGATTCTCCTCTCAGATCTCACTTCCAACGCCTCCCAAGGCCCCGACGGCTACTACCTGACAAACATAGGCTTGGCGACCATAAACGTCGCCAGTGGCATCTTCCTCTGCCGTGGCGACGTCGCCTCTGCCATCTGTCAGGAGTGTGTCGCCGCCGTAGCCACAGAGATAGAATGCTGCTGCCACAACCAGACACAATCCATAATATGGTACGATGAGTGCACGTTGGGTTACACAAACAGGTACTTCAACTCTGTCAGCATCGTCCCAAGAGTGAACTTGTGGGATGACAAGAACATCTCCACCTCGGATTTGAAAAGCTTCAACCAAACGTTGTTCAGCTTGTTGAACAGTTTGGCTGAAGAAGCTGCGAGTTCCCAGCTTGCGAAGAAATTCTCCACCGGAGAAACAGAGTTCAAGGGGTCATCGAGGCAGAACAGAGTGTATGGGCTGGCACAGTGCGTGTTAGAATCGAGACCAAAGAAAATAGAAGACTGAATTGACATTATGTAAGAATGAATCATCCAATCGTTTAAGTTACACTGTTCTCATATATATAATGACAACATGACAGTAAGAGTGAGTAACTGAGTAAACGGTTAACTAACTTTACAGACAATTAACTAACTGAGTAAACGGTTAACTAACGGAGTGATACTCAACAGTGCACTCCCAGCGTGACGAATGATCAGTGTGAGGAGTGTTTGCAAAATGCAATCAGAACTCTTACTATGTGTTGAGGGGGGAATAGGGTGCGAGAGCTATGCTAGCATGGTGTAATATTAGATACGATTTGTACAAGTTTTATTATACAACTGAAACATCAGCAGCACCGCCCCTGGTTCTTTAACATCCTCCTCCTTCAGGTACTTTTTATAACCAATATTTGGGTCATCATCGATATATGCTACAATAATGTTAGCACTATCTTTTCCTTTTTTGGTAATTAAAAGTTTAGGTGGGGAAAAATATTGGTTCCCTAAGGGGCGGATCCCAAATTTTTTGAGAATTTCTAAAATGAATTACAGATCATTCATCAACAAAGTACTCAAATCGGTGAACGAAATTTGAACTAATACCCTTGTAGGGAATGAGCGTAGTCCTTAACCAATTATGCCTAACCTAGTTGGCTTCTTTGTCTTTTTATCACCTCCTCCACAAGGAAAATTCGAAGACAGTGCGCATTCGTTTACAATTTTTTTTTACAAATTACACTGAGTATGATACACTCTTGATTAGTGTATGCATAACACCCTGTATGCACCCGGTGTATTAACATACATGTGATAGTAAGCGCGACATGCTCAACTTAATTAATGCGGAAGCTAATTGAATAAATTTTCTCTTTTTTCCTTATGTATTGCAAAATTTTTCACTTCTATGGCCAAAATAAAACGGACAACATTTCCTCTGTATTTTAAACCACTGGGGATAATTCCACCAAGATAATTTCTACCTGATTGACAGTTTAATATAATCCAGGCATCCACTATATTGCCCAGCCATCCATGGCATAGGCTATCGCATAATCATAATAGGTCTCAAAATAATATCCATAAAGTTACTTATTTGATTACAGTATGACCGGTCAGACATAGTGTAGTTTGTAAAAAGCTTGTAAATCTTCCCCTGTATATATGGAGATAGGATCCTTTGACACCAGTGTCAAATTTGAAATTTGACGCCTCATCTGAAAGTCATTTGATCAAAAAAATCAATGACTCTGATTTGTAAGCATGTGACCAATTGATCTTTTTTTATCTAATGACTCTCAGATGAGGAGTCAAATTTCAAATTTGATACTAGTGTCAAAGGATCCTTCCTCATATATATATATATATATATATATATATATATATATATATATATATATATGGGAGAAAATTATATTTACAAATTTTTTGTTTATAAACTATATTATGTCCGGTCATACACTAATTAAGAATGTATGACCGATTATATTTAGTGTAATTTATAAAAAAAAAAACTGTAAATGAATTCTTCGCAATATACATGTGCCATCTTTCATGACCATAAAATTCTTCTAACATGACCTTAATAAATACCTATTCATATGAAATAAAGTAAGGTCAATACTAATCAATGTCAGTAGCGTAAGTAAAAATATTGAACTGCATTTTAGTTAAATCAAATTTTTTGTCATGGAGCTTAATTAACTTTACAAGATTATAGATTGAAACTTGAGTGTCCAAAAAAGAGCTTTTCTGATTGAGAATTAACAATAATATAGTTTATAAATAGATATAGAATATTAGCCTTTTTATTTTTTTAATTACTAAAGCTTGAATTTTTTTTCTCTACAATTATTTATGCAGGAAAGAAGAAATTTGGACCTCGAAAAATTGTCTTGATTGCTGTCCTTGTTGTTGCCATTTCGATAATTCTGTTGTGTTTCGTGTGCTATTTTCTACTGAGAAGATCAAGGAAAAATGATAAGACTCTTCTAAGGGAAAATTGTTAGTAATTTGAAACGAAAACTCAAATCCTTTCTCAACTCTTCGTGGCACAATACAATCGCTACTGTTCAATTTGGCCACAATTGAGGCTGCCACAAATAAGTTTTCCTATGAAAACAAAATAGGAAAAGGTGGATTTGGAGAGGTTTACAAGGTGATGAAATGTAATGAAAAATGAATATGTATGCTTGTTTCTCATACTTAACTGATTGGTTATAATTTCAGGGTGTTCTTTTAGATGGACGAGAAATAGCTGTAAAAAAACTCTCGCAAAGTTCACGACAAGGTGTAGTAGAATTCAAGAATGAGGTTTTGTTAATAGCAAAACTTCAACACAGAAATCTTGTGACATTATTAGGATTTTGCTTGGAAGAACAGGAGAAAATGCTTATTTATGAATTTGTGCCCAATAAAAGTCTTGATTACTTTTTATTCGGTAAATAATTTCTATTCTCACTTTTATTTATTGTTAAATTTTAAAATTTATGTGTTGATATATAAATTTACCCGGGTACACCCCTCCCTATCCGGGTGTAGGGAGGGGTGTACCCGAGTAGACTTGGTGGTCAACGGTCAAACAGGGGCAGATTGATGTTATATTTTTTGAGAAAGTTAAATTTTTGAAATAGTTTATAATGAAGGTCAATTTGATAATTAATTATTAATAAAAGGTTATAAGGGTCGAAAAGCCATGTTATTCTTCATTAAACACATAGTAAACTAGCAGAACATAATTACGAATTTTTTTTAGGGGTAACAGGACTCTCTTAGTTGTGCTTATGTATATTGGTAATTTGGTACCATAATGTGTAGTAGCACATTTCAATTGGTTACCGACCTCCTGGTTGGTAGCTTGACAACGTCCCTGTTAATTGAATATCAGTACATATAACTTGTTTAAGGATGTGTTTGGTATAGGTTTTATTTTGAGTTTGATGGGAAAGTGAAAGTGGATATAGAGAAATACCATGTTTGGTACAAGTTTGCAAAAAAAATATAGAGTAAATACCCTTTTGGGTCCCTAACAAAAAAAAAACGGTACCCACTTTAGTCCCTTACAAAAAAAATTAGTCTCGAGGTCCCTGACAAATTCAAAGTGGATCCATTTTAGTCCTTTTGAGGGACTAATATGTGTCTTTTTTGAATTTGTGAGGGACCACGATTTCAACTAAATGGGTCCACTTTGAATTTGTCAGGGACCTCGAGACTAATTTTTTTTTGTAAGGGACTAAAATGGGTACCGTGTTTTTTGTTAGGGACCAAAAAGGGTATTTACTCAAAAATATATTAGGAGATTAGGAAGCATAGGAAACTCTTTTTGTGTTGATTTTTACTATTCCAAAAAACCATTTGAGATATGGTATTTTGGGGTAGATGGAAAAGTGGAAAAATGGGAGAAAAGTTATGGACCAAATTGACCCTCATAGTGAGTGACTTGCATTGATTAAGAAGAAATGGAAAAATAGCAAACTATGGTTGTTTTAATTTTGTAAGAAGTAATAATAAAAAAAAACTAGGAGAGGGACAAGGAGGGATGGTAAGTGTCAACTTGCATTGATTAGTACCGATAAGTAAAAGAGACTCACTTTTAATGGTTCTTTAAAAAATTTATAATGGGGTATTTTTTTCAATTTAACCTATTTTCCTATCATTATTTTACATTCAACCAAACATAGACTTTGCAATAAATGTTCCCAGTAATATTTCAGTCAACAAAACAACTTTTTTTAAATTTTTCTATCAAACTTATTTTCCTACCATTTCTCTAGTAATTGTATTTTCCTAGTAAAAAAATTTTATTCCTCTATCAAACGCCCTCTAAATCTCTCTTCATGGGTATTGCTTTGCAAAACCAAGATAAAATGACATCAAAAAATTATCTTTGGAAAACTTACAAATGTAATTAAAAAAAATTAAATTTTAAATAAATTATTTTATTATTAATTTTAAATCCTACATTTAAAGAAATTTAAATACTTTAGAATAAATTAAAAAAACACATTATATTTTTTGTCCCCTTTTAACAAGAGCCCTGACAAAAAAAAAAAAAAAAACTCTTCATGAGCCTCAGCCTTCGTTCCGTTTCATGGTCAATGCAATCCAACTTGTCCCGCACTGTCCAATTAGAAAAGTTGCTTCATTTACTTATTGAAGAGGTTGTCGGTAACCTCCTTGCAGGGTACAGTAGAGTTTATGAATGAAGCTATCCTTGTGGCTAAGCTTCAACATAGAAATTTAGTGAGGCTGTTGGGATTTTGCTTGGAGGGGCAGGAGAAGATGCTTATCTATGAATACATACCAAACAAAAGCCTTGATCGTTTTCTATTTGGTTGGACACTTTCAATTCTTCTTTTACTTCTTTATTAGTATAGATGATTGGTTGCCCTGAAAAGACACCTCAAAAGTAGAATCACTTTATAGTATTCACATGGTGTTATCTTTTCCCTTATTAAAGAACAGCCACATAAGATGGGGTTATAAGCTCTTTATAAACGGAAATTATAGTAATCCTGCAATTGCTAATCTGGATATTTCATTTTGACAAATTCTGTAGATCCTGTAAAGCAAAGAGAGTTAGATTGGTCAAGACGCTACAAGATCATTGTTAGTATTGCTCGAGGAATTCTTTATCTCCATGAAGATTCCCAGCTTCTAATTATACATCGTGATCTCAAAGCTAGCAATGTTCTACTAGATGAAAACATGAACCCAAAGATTTCAGATTTTGGCATGGCAAAAATTTTCCAGGCAGATCAGACTCAAGTAAATACAGGAAGGATAGTTGGAACTTAGTAAGTTTGAGGCCTTTTTGTCATCTCCTATTACATATATTATTAGCTCCCCTTTAATAATCATGGTCAGTTAAAATATGTGAAAAGAAGTATATTCTTCTTTCCAAAAATGTTATCATTATTTTCTGAACATGTGGATTGATAATTTTTTTTTTCAGTGGTTACATGTCTCCAGAATATGCAATGCGTGGACAATTCTCTGTGAAATCAGATGTGTTCAGCTTTGGTGTCTTAGTTTTGGAGATTGTGAGTAGCAAGAAGAACACTGATTTTTGTCAAACTAAACATGCCGATGACCTCCTAAGCTATGTGAGTATAAACAAGTGTAACTGCTTTCTTCTTCTCTAATGATACCAAGCTCAACTGCAATGCCTAGTTAAATATTTCAATGGGTGAGGAATGAGAGATTCCAAATTTGAATACTAACAGTATATTGCCACAGGCTTGGAAAAATTGGACGGAGCAAACACCTTTGGAGTTGCTGGATCCAACCCTGAGAGGTTCTTATTCAAGAAATGAAGTCATCAGATGCATCCATATTGGTTTATTGTGCATTCAGGAAAATCCATCCGACAGGCCTTCGATGGCAACTATTTCACTTATGTTGAACAGTTATTCAGTTACCTTGTCATTACCTCGAAAACCAGCATCTTTCCTGCATGGAAGAACACCTAACAGGCTAAAAAATGGGCTTCATTCTGATGAGTCCGCCACCAGTTCAATTTTGTGGTCTAATAATGAAGTATCCATTACTGAAGTATACCCTCGATAAAGGATAGGTTTTATTATGTTTTCTTCAATCCATCCACTTTATGTTCAAATCTTGTCAAACCATGCCGTTATGTAACACGTACCTAGTCAATATGTATTGTAAATATTAGTGGCTAAAAATAATTTTGTTTGATGAATAGTAAAAATTACGACCACTGAGTGCAGATTCTTTTGGTTTTAAATCCTTAAAATCCTCATGATGGATGCAAATGCAGCATAGATAAAGGCATGATTCCCTTGGAGACCATAGCAAGCGCTGATCGGAACCAGTTTGATCCAAATCAGTAAAACATAGCAAGCGCTGATCGGAACCAGTTTGATCCATCATTGTTGGGTTTAAACTTTATTTATTTGAAGAAAATAGAAAATGAAGAGTTTTGTGGTAAAAAGGTGTGTCCCTTAGGAATTTGTTAGTGGACATTAATGAGTTTAAAGTTTCTAAGAAGTTGTCATTATTATGTTTAGATTTCCTAAGTTGGTCATTAGTATTCTTAGTTATTTGCTATTGCTTATAAATAGCACTATGTAAACCATTTCAAAAAGCACTTGGCATATACAGTAATACAAAGAGGTATATTCAGAGAATTGCTTGTGTGGTTGAGTGTTTGAGAGAAACACCATTAGAGGACCTGTGAATTACAAATTGGTATCAGAGCTTGATATCAATGGAAGGTGTGAGTAATGGTCTGCCAGTGCCCCGCCTGAAAAAGGGCAACTATGAGAATTAGAGCATCCAAATGAAGGCTCTCCTAAGAGCGTGTGATAGTTGGAATTTAGTGCAAAATGGGTTCGTAGAACCTAAAACAACAGAAGGATACTCAGCAAACCAACTCAAGCAGTTGAGTTTGTCAAAATCGAAGGATGCAGCGGCACTGTTTATGATGCTTCAAGCTGTTGAAGAATGCGGTGGTATTGAGAAGATTGGAGGTGCAACAACGGCTAAGGAGGCCTGGGACATATTGGAGACGGTCTACCGAGGTGTTGACCGTGTGAAGCAGGTCAGGCTTCAAACTCTTCGAGGAGAGTTGGAGGGGATGAAAATGAAGGAGACTGAAGGAGTGTCGGATTTCATCACCCGGGTTCAGACCGTTGTGAACCAGTTGAAGAGGAATGGAGAGGCGTTGGCCGACTCCAGAGTAGTAGAAAAGATTCTGAGGTCGTTGACTGATAACACATATTTTGTTACACTTATTTGTTACTCTTGATTAGTATTTTTAGGATTTATTTGAATAAAATAATGATTGTTAGAGTTAATTTAGGTTTTCAGTTTTTAATTGGGTTTAATTTATTTTCGTCAGAATTTTTCAGCTTTACGTTACTTCTAAATTTTGGCCATATCTCAGTCCATAGTTGTCGGATTGACTCCGTTCTTGTTGGGTTTTTCAGATAACACAGAGAGCTACAATTCTTATGCAGATCTCTAAGCCCAATTCGGACTAGAAGCTGGTCGATTTCGGACACCAAGTTGGACGCGTTTTGCTGAAGTTTTGTTTGACTATTGGGCTTGTAATTTAAATTAAAACCCAATTACTTAAGTGGCCCAAAGCCAAGTTTTATTGTTTCATTTTATTTTATTCGGTTTTTTATTTTATGTTTGGGCTGAAGCGATGAAACCCTAGCCGTCCTGCGTGACGGCTATTTAAAGGGGACTCTAGGAAACCCTTGGTAGTCAGTTTTTACAACAGAGAAGTTCTCTCTGAGTTTTTATTCAATTGCGTTCTTCATCTTTTTTCTTCTTCTTCTTCTTTTTATTTCAATTATGTTTACCTTAGCCATGCGAGGCTAAGAACCTTTTAATCAACCTAGGGTAATGGATTCCATGGATTAGTCTTGAGGGTCTGCGTTTATTTCAAATCAGTTTTCGTTTCCCTTCCAAACTCAGATTGATATCGTGCGATCGTGGATATTCAATCTGAGGTTCGCGATTGCGATTATGGAAAAGGATTAATCATCAGATTTGATGAATAGGTTGATTGACCCTATGACCTTAAATCAAGCGGGTTGATACTCTGCGATTGTATGAGTAGAAGCATTGTCTTTGATCAAATGCTAAGCGATCGCTTAGAGAGGGTTGTCAATTGGAAATAAGGATTCTGATCCGATTGACAAATCAATCACGATTCTAATATTTTCTTATCCGAGGAAAGACGTCCATGGATCCCAAACCTTAGGTTGGTTATTTTTAATTACGAATTTTTATTCCAAATTTATATTCTGCCTCTTTAATTATTGAATCAAAATCTAAAACCCCCCTTTTAATTTTCTGTTCTCATAAGCGATTTTAACCAAAACAATTTCCTTGAGAGACGACTTAGGGTTTCCACTTTACTGCAAATTTTCTGAACCCTAATTAAAAAAATAATTTTTAATTTGCGCGAGTTCGACAGCTCGTGTCAAATTTGGCGCCGTTGCCGGGGAAATTGCATCGGTCTAAATCGTTTTCTGATTCTTGATCATCTTCTTTTTCATCTTCATCTTCTTTTTCTTTAATTTTCGTTTTTTAAAAAAAAAATCAAAAAAAAAGTCAATCAAAAAAAAAAAATTCAATCAAAAAAATAAAATAAAATTGGGGAAATCGGTAAAACTTCAGTTTGAGCGATTGGTTCCAGGACGTATCGGGTATTTCTGAACTTGTTCAACTTGCTCTGATCGCTCTGAAAATTGGTGAGCTGAAGGAGACGATCTTCCCTGTCAAAAGTCATGAGGCTTTGCCTCATGAATCAGGCCCTGGTTTTGCCAAATTCCTTTGTTTACTATTTTATTTTATTGTTTGAAAAAATTTTATTTGATTTTTGAGTCTGTAGGGTCATTTAGAGTTTAGGAGAGTTTGTCTCATATCATTCTGAGTTCATTTAGTATTTTTAGTAGGTTTATTTTTGCTTCTGTTTGCTATGTATCCAATTTTTCACCCTACAGATGCTTGTCATTCCTTTCCAGACAGCGGTTTCCAAGTTGATCAGTCTGTTGCTGCAGTTTTTCCTGGAAAGCCACAGTACCAGCAGCAAAATAATCCCTTCTACAATATATATAATCCTGGCTGGAAAAATCATCCCAATCTCAAATGGAGCCAGAATCAGCAAAGTGCACCATTCCAGCAGAGGCAGCAGTTTGTACCTTCACAACAGAGGCAAAATTTTCACCAATTTGCACCTCCACAGCCAATGCAACAGCCACTAGTGCAGCAGCAAGCTAGTAGCAATGGCCCTTCTTTGGAGGATTTAGTGAAGCAGATGGCAACTAACAATCTGCAGTTCCAGCAGATTACTGATTTTTCCCTCCAGAATCTGCAAACACAGATTGACCAACTTGCAACGTCAATGAGTCAAAATCAACAAGCAAGTGGCAGCTCCCTTCCATCCCAAACAGTTCCAAATCCAAAAGGAAGCGGAAATGTGAGTGCTATTACTATGCGGTCTGGCAAGCATATGGAGGAGCCAAACCACACTGCTGCTGAGTCATCTAAGGGAAGTGACACTAGCTCCAAGAAGCAGAGCACTGATACATCTGATCATCTTGTTTTCTGCATTGATGTGATAGATGAAGTTGTTGAGGATTTTTCTCCTGAATTCCTTACTGATTTTTCATCTATTCATGGTTCTGATTTCTGTGATTGTAGTGATAGTCAAGAGTGCATTGTGTGTGCTGAAATAGCATCACATCTTTCTGGTTTTAACGATGCACTTATTGATGAATCTGATTCTGAGTGTGAATCTGCACTTTCTGAATTGCCTGCTGATATTATTGATGATCCTAATTCTGTTTCTGAGAATTTGTTTACAGGCATTGCTGCTGACTTGTTTTCTGCAGAATTTGCACCACCAACTACACCTCTTCCATCCATTGAGCAACCTCCGAAATTGGAGTTGAAGGTTCTTCCCGACCACTTGAAATATGCATTTCTTGAGGAAAATGAGCAGTTACCTGTGATAGTGGCCAATGACCTCCTACCTGAGCAGGAGGTAAAGCTTCTGACATTGCTGAAAGAAAATAAAAAGGCAATTGGATGGACTTTAGCAAATAATGTGGGAATCAGCCCTTCCATGTGCATGCACCGCATTTTACTTGAAGGTGTTAAACCAGTGAGGCAGAAATCAGGCTGTTTGATGCTGTTTATTCTCCTTAGGGAGTTCAGGGAGTTCTCTTCCCTCTTTTTCTTTTCTTTCTGTTATTTGCATTTTTATTTTTCTTTTCCTTTCTTTCTTTTAGTTTTTGACTTTTTCTTTTCTTTCTGTTATTTGCATTTTTCTTTTTCTTTTCCTTTCTTTCTTTTAGTTTATGATTTTTCATAGGTAGATTTTCCTTTTCTTTCTGGTAATTATTGAGTGGTACATAGAGTAGACATAGATCACAGTGTTTGATAGCATAAATCTGTTGGGCTTTGATCTCGATTCTTGGATTACAACTACCTGTTGATTGATTTTGTGCTGTTGATTGCATGACTTGGTTTACCCTTGTGAGGTTTTGAGCCCGCATACATGGCATATCTTCTGGCCATGCTTTCTTTCTTGTGTGTTTCTGCTCTTGATTGTTGTCCTCTAGAACTTGCTCTTGTTCTTTTTGAAACTGCATTTTTCACTTGCATGCATGAATATGATTGAGGCATTCTTTCTTTTCTGTACCCACTTTAGCCAGATAGCCGTCCCTTATATTATTATCCTTTGGTGAGCCCCTTTGAGCCTTTATATCTTTTATTTCTTAAGCCGCATTACAAGCCTAAGTGAAAAACCAATTAATTCCACACCCTGGAGTTTTACTGAGCATTGGTTTCATTGTGATGTTGTGTTTAAGTGTGGGGGTTTGCCCGAGACGGACTAAAGTTTAAGTGTGAGGGGTGACTATCTGATTCATTTCTGCTATGTGGTTTTACTTCTTCAAAACAAAAAAAAAAACAAAAAAAACAAAAAAAAAAAAACAAAAACAAAAAAAAAAAAAAAAAAAAAAAAAAAAAAAAAAAACAAAAAAAAAAAAAAAAAAAAAAAAAAAAAATGCCTATGGTAGGATGATTTTCTTGAGTTGATTTGAGTGATATACTGAATTAACTGATACACTTGAGAGAAAAATTGAGAGCATCTTGTGAGGAACCATTTTTATGCAGTTAGCAGTTGC